CCATCACCACTCATGAATATTGATTGGTTGCTTCAACTGAGAATTGTAATTGCTTCTGTTAAGTGTAGACTAAAATCCAAGTACCTTGTCAACCTTATTCTACATCGGCCAACATTTCTGACAGAGAAATGCGGTGTCTTCGTGTGCATAACACATTCCCCAGCTACCTTAGCCAATGTAGTTCCAACACGCCAGCGACTAACCTACTCTACTTACCTAAACAATCTATTACTAATCTCAGTCTTATCTAACGTAGGTCTATATCAGATGTGAACGATCGGACGAAGATATTAATCATCAAAATCTGTCATTTTTAACATCTTTTACTCTCAGTGTCCATGCCTCACGGACGTGAATTATCAGAGAAGAAAATGGTGCGTCGTACACACGTCTCTCCACACGAGACATGATACTTCGATCGTGTCAAAGATGACGCGGGTTGGCGAGTAGCAAATCAGCCTGTTGTATCCCCGTTGAGATCCCGTCAACCAGAAAATCACTACGGTTGATCTGAACTCTCAGCCATGCAGGACAATCGACACATAGAACAGATGATTGAGATGCTTTCCCGTCGGGTAGTATGTTGAACACTGTTTGACAAAATCAGTTGTCTACACATCTGCTCGTCAACAGTTGGCAAGACTTTCAGCAATAGACTCTGGTGGATATTAATAAAAATCTCAGATATCTGTGTGTCAATCATATCGAATCTTGTGTGATTTAGAGGAAATGGTTAGATATTAACCTAGTGAAGATTACTATGTGAAACAGGATAAGCTTCTAAAATCTTAGACATATATCTTTATTATATTATTGGTAGCGATCTGAATATTCGGCGTCGGCAGTGGCACATCTCCATTAAGCTCTGTTCTCTACAGTCTCGCTTTACAAACTGGAAGAGGAGGTAGGAAGTTCGTCATTAGGGCTAACAACGGAAACTCCTGGAGAATTTTCAAAGCGCAGAAGACAATATAAAAAGTATTTTTATCAGCAATGTTTATTGATTCAATAGATTTTATCCTACCTCATCGATTATCAATCGATGAAAAGAAGAAATGAGAAACACATCAAAGACAGGAAAGTATAGGTTGCAGAAAAAAATGCACAGTAATAACTTCTTCATGAATAAATGCACTTGTTTAATTTATAAGATATATGTACAATAACCGAGATTGTTCACAATTTCAGACCGACAGTCTTTTGTTGAACTTTAAAAGGTCAAGAGGGAGTTGCAGTACTGAATCATAGTAATGCTTAATACCATTATATAGTACAAAGAAGAATGGAGAATAAAGACCAGATTTCACATTCAGTTAAATAATAAAGTAGCACTATCAAGTTGCAAGAACACTGATAAAAAATATAACTTGATGTAACTACTTTTCGCTAGAAAACTAATGAATACAAACTTTACATTGAGATAAAGTGATATTTAGAACTGTTTCACTACTTCAACGAATGGACATTAGTTTGAGGGGAACACAGATTGTGGAATCACCATCACCACTCATGAATATTGATTGGTTGCTTCAACTGAGAATTGTAATTGCTTCTGTTAAGTGTAGACTAAAATCCAAGTACCTTGTCAACCTTATTCTACATCGGCCAACATTTCTGACAGAGAAATGCGGTGTCTTCGTGTGCATAACACATTCCCCAGCTACCTTAGCCAAGATAACTTCATGTAACTAAATCTTTCAGCTTCTAGTACCATGGTTATTAGGAGGAATCAAATCACCACCTCCAACTAACTGAGCAATTCCACGTCTACCAACTGCTTCTATTGCAGGAGTGAAGACCTGTAAAACAGAGAAGGAAAAAGTAGTAAGGTATATTAGTCAGACCTCAGTTAAGCAAAAGAGATGATTCATTATTCACCACGCTATTAGCCACACTAATTGTATGTGTGGGGAGGGGGGGTTGAAAATGCCTAATACCTTTAGCTGAAGTAGATGGAGAAGGATTCAATCCACTGCTTAAAAGACAAGTGCTGAAGCTGAAGAACCACACCTCTACAGTATTCTGAGTAGTAAATTACTCAATGCAAACTGTATAATAATGAATATTTACTCCACTCAGTAACCACATGCACGTGCGTAGACTCCCATCACACTCTGGTTCGCGCACATTTATGCTTACAATTAAATAAACATAAAAAATTGTTGGCAGCGAAGCAGTTGCGTCCCCAACTAGATCGAAACTCTGAGTCCCTATTTCAGGAGGAAATAGCGAAACGTGTATCTGAAGTCGACAGAAGGACTCCTCCTGAGGTAGCCTGCCACAACATACAGTTAGCTGGAGACACACCTGCAAAACCTGTTAATAGCCTATAACCAAAAGTTAGTAAGAGCCATTGGATCTCTACCGCCTCATCCGGTCTGATTGACGCTAGAAGACTGATTCCGACGAGCTCCGATTATGATAAGGAGAGAAAGCTACTCAAACGCAAACTAACAAGAAGTCTTCGTAACAACCGTGAACAGTGGTGGGCGACAAAAGCGAAAGAGATGGAAAAGGCATCGGCGATTGGTAACCCCCACAACTATCTAGACTTATCAGGGAAACAGGTAGTAAAAGGCAAATGATAAGTGAAACAATCCCTGAGAAAAATGGCACCATAATTAGCCACCAGGATAGACGACTGGAACGCTGGGAAGAACACTTCGAGGAGGAGGTTAATCGGCCCACAGCCACGCTCAACCCCCGCCCTGAATGGGATATAAACACAGGTCTTCCGTAATTCCATTATGGGTAAATTTTGTTTTGATAGTCTCACAGTGTTATACAGTAATGTTTACTGATGACGTTTCGAGCACAATTTATTGCTCATAATCATATCAAGGTAATCACACGACTTCCTAAATTCATTTATATAGTTCCATTGTTTTTCACTTGATTTCATTGGTAGTAATATTTTCCATATTTCGGGTATCAGTGATGAATCATTCTTATTGCATATAATGGGTGTAGACTCGATGAACAAGGATTCAGTAATTAACCTCTCTCCACCTACTTAGATTACTTTTTAGAATTTTAACCCTCTCCCACCCTATTGTGTGGTTGTGTGCTATCGCATGCATTGCAATTGCTGAGCTTTTTTCTAAATTACTTATCTTGTCTGGGTCAACCATTCTTACCTTAGCTAAATTCTTATGTTCTGGCAATCTGACTACCCCTGACCTAATAGTTTGACCTATGTAGTGTGTACTTCAATTTGAAGTGAGCTTTTAGATTTCTCCATGACATAGTCATTCTACCAGCTGACAGAGGCAGAACAACAGTAGTCATGGAAAGAGAAGAATACACCAAGAAAGCTGAAAAACTACTCAAAGATGAGGATGTATATCAACAACTCACAACAAATCCCATACAAGCATTAGACAACCGCATCCAACGAACCTTAAACAAGCTCACTGAAACAGATCAGATCACAAAACAAGATCAATGGCGAATGAAATCCAATGGATCAGTCCTACACCGATTCTACGGCAGGCTCAAAATACACAGACCAAACATCCCGTTACGACCAACTGTATCACTCCCAAGAGCCCCAACATATAATTTGTCCAAAAACTATACAAAAAATTGAAACACCTAACGGATTCCCGCAACCACTCGATCAAATCTACTATTCAATTTCTAGAGTCTAGAGAAAATCAGAGGCATTCAAACAGGTGACCAAGAAATTATGATCTCCTTCGACGTCACAGCATTATATACCTCAAGTGGACAGAAACTAGCAAAAGAGACCATGGAGCAATTACTCAACAACGACGAACATTTCCCACAACAGTCAAAAATGCAACACACAAGTTGGATGGAATGCATAAATCTATGCCTAACAACTCCATTATGGATAAGATTTTATTTTGATAAATCACACAGTGTTACACAGTAATATTAACTGATGACGTTTCGAGCACAAATTATTGCCACTCATAATCATATCAAGTCACTCACACAACTTTTTACTTCATTTATATATTTGTATGGAATTGACTAGATATTTGAATAAATATCAATATAGGATAATGTACATTCAGAAATAATAATATGAGTGTTGTTGATCAAATACAATTAGATGGGAAATAAGACGAATGTTCTTATAGTTATAATAAGTAATTTGTTAGAATGTTGTGATGTGCTTGAATTGAAATAGAATTTTGAGATTATTTATTATCCTCTTTTGATTTGACTGGTGGTAATAATTGAGTTTAGGAGTAGTGTAGTTACAACTGATATACCTATGAACAATAGACTGTGTTCGGAATGTTATCAAGTAAATAATATTATTTCATTGTGACATATACAATGAACAAATAGGCGCAGACTGGATGTGAAGTACATGACTTCTAAGGTACACGACTGTTCTATGTGCTCCTAGATTCATTTGACAGCTATCCAGACCACTGTTAATAAAGCGGAATCGAAACTGTTAATTTGCTTTTTGAAAACTATGTACGTAGACCAATGCGGCACACTTCTACATACGGCTCTCCTTTCAATTTAAGATATTCCTATGTAATAATGTTGCAGTCAATCTCAAAAAAGAATATTGTTTTCAATAATTTATCTTCAGGTTCTTACAATTATAAAATATATTTGTTGTTGTTACAATAATGGTCAGTTATGCGGCGGATGCATTTTTAACGTAGAATAACAGATTAGTTATGGAGTGCCAAAATAAATAGTATTTGTGTGACAAACGTGCTGGGCTGAAATCGATTACAAAATATTGTGAAATGGGAGGCAGTGGTGGTAATTAGTCACGACGTTTGTCACACAAATACAACTATTCATTTTGACACCCCATAACTAATCTGTTATTCTACGTTAAAAATGTATCCGCCACATAACTGGCCATTATTGTAACGACAATAAATATTATATCTTACATTTTATAATTGTAAGAACCTGAAGATAAATTATTGAAAACAATATTCTTCGTTCAGATCTTCAACATGTTGCAATTTTGGTAGGAAATATAACGACACACATACCTTATTCATCACTAACTCAGCTGAATGGTCTATAGCATTGGCTAATTCCGGCGCTTGACCAGTATAACTTAAAAACAACCACGTAAACAATGTTATTAAAGCAATGTAGAACGGCATAGTCAGAACATTTGAAATCACTGATAAGCCAATGAACTCAGATATTCCTGTGACAACATGGAAAAGCAGTAAGATGACAACCAAGACGGTTGGAGTACGAAAAGTCTACAAATGAAAAAGAAAAGAAAACAGGCAGTTAATATACTTATTTCCTAAATAATAATAATAGTGTATGATTAACAATAAAATCATGTAACTCAGTCTTGCACAATAGAATTATATATAGACACCTTATTTTCCAATTATTAATGAAATGAATCGTAATCAGAATATTACACAAATCGAGTATGTTATAGAATATGATTACGAATTCAAAACACGGCTGTTAGTCATAGTACGAAAGTCTGATAATGTCATTCTACTTTCCATATTGAATAAGTTTATTTCAAATGTCACAGCGATACAGTATTAATAACTAGATGACGTTTCGAGTATAAATTATTGCTCATAATCATATTCTACTTTCTTTATAATGACGGAGTAAATACTATTTGCGAGTTCCTGTTTGACGAAACGAGGATTGAATACACTTAGTTTTGTGTTACATACTAGGAGTTCATCAACGGAAAACCTGGAACTTGGACACAATGAATTTCGGTACGCATTAATCAGTAGTGTTTACATCCAGGAAAAATTTACTGTTTCCTCTGAAAATCGAACTGAAACTTTATTGTTAACTGAGCAACACCATTAGTACAGCCAGTATTAGTATAATTACAGAGTGCATACATATGCGAGCACTATCAAATTCTCCGTTTTTAAAGGTATATACTATAAAAGTTACATCTATTAGGCTATATTTCGATATCTAAATGAGAAGTCTTCATCAATCAGTTAAATCATCATATAATTATATAATTCAACAAGTCATATGATATTTAAAATATGTTATGAATAAGACAGTGCGAATGACAACAGTGTTTTGCTGCAAGTCAACAATTTAAACAGATGGTTCTCCAACCAACAGTTTAATCACACACTAAAAGAGAAAAACCTTACAGCTAATCACATGTGTATTCTTTGAGAGACTTTAATCTAACTAACCTCCTTTTATACCAAATATAGATATGACTTTATAGCTTTCAGAATAAGATCATTGAAAAGAAACATTTACGTGCTGAATTCATGGACAAATAAGTGTACTGTGTTGTATGTTTGAGAAGGGATAGTATATACTCCTTGTTTGCAAGCCACTTACTTATCGGAACAAATTTATAAATACAATAAATGAAACTATTCTTAAAAATGTACAAAGACATTAACATACTTGAAATATGTTCTTTTTAGAATTCGCTAAGCGGAAGTCTTCTCCCATTTGCGTTATTGTTTCCTTTAAGCGATGCAAATACTCTTCAGAAAATGCTTTACCACCCATTTTAGGGATACTATTGAACTTCTCAATACAATTATTATATATTTTCAAATGCAACGCTTCTAGTTCATTTGGGTTGATGTACGGTCGGTCTGGTCCACATATCTAAAGTTTAGAAAGAAAAGTGGAATCAGGGTTCACAACAGTGTACTAAATGACTTGTTATGAAATAAATATATGGCACAGCTTTAGGGAATTACTTAAGAACAGTGAAAATAAGCATCGTGTTGGTTAGGGCTCATCAGTGCATACTTCAGAACTCAAATAACCTAACGTGCCACTAGAAATGCTGTCTCATATTACATCATTCAAGTAAAAGATGGTATTACAAAGTGTTTGAAATAGACTGAATATACAGACACAACTTAATATTTATATTATAATAATAATAATAACAATAATGAAAACAAAACACGTTGTGCAGCGAACAGTTTCTTTTCAACGAATTCATTCACTTAGCTGTACAATCGTAATTGCATATACTTGCTGTTGTATGAGTCTGTACATTAAGTTTGTCCGATAAGAATAAAAATAAGTTAGGGTCAAGACATTTCAAAAATGTGATGAGTAATCAGATTGTAACTAGGGTCGGGGTGAAGATTGGTAAGAGGGTAGTTGTGATGTGTTGTCAAAAAACATAGTTGTTGATGTTAATCAACACATAAAAGAAGTTGAATAAACGTAATACAGTTGTTGACTAACATCAACAACTATGTGTTTTGACAACACATCACAACTACCCTCTTACCAATCTTCACCCCGACCCTAGTTACAATCTGATTACTCATCACATTTTTGAAATGTCTTGACCCTAACTTATTTTTATTCTTATCGGACAAACTTAATGCAAGCAATTAAAGAACAGGCTCTGAACAGTTGCCTGTTCTTTAATTGCTTATAATTCTTGTATTCATTTAGAACTCTTACGTAATTTCGTATTATCTACTTTGTTCCTGAGTAAAACTCACTCATCAAACTATTCATATTATTACATAACTTCTTTTAACAACTGTTTGTGACAACTCATCACCTTTGTTACTACCCTAATTTCACTAACACCTAATTTTCTTGACTGATTTTGTATTACGTAACTCCAATTACCAATCTTCACCTGTTTACTTCGGTTGTGTGAACAGACAGGTAACTGAAGAATGGTGAATAAACGCTAATAGTTTTTCTTCCATAAATCAACTAGTGCAAAGTACTGTTTCAAGTGAATTATTTATTGTATGTTCCCTTTATTAATTTGATGTCACACGGAAAGCTAATTACCATAATACTTCTACCCCGTATGAGAATTCTTAAAATATAACTCATGTTATAATCCTTGAGAATAATTAACTTTGTGCATGTAGTCAACGGAATATACTAATACTACAAGCCAATTAAAAGTGAAGGAGTTCACCGGTAACATTCAAAAGATGTTGGATTAAATAATCAATGAAACCCCTATTATCGAATTAGAAAAGACTCGTTTTTAAGGCATATCATTTGTACTATACATAGGACAAAAAAGGTTTGATTTGTTTACCTTGTTCATCGCCTCTGTGTACATTTCTTGACAAGCTAATATTGCATTTAAATTATTTGCTTCTGCAGTCGCCTCCAACATTGAACGTGGTTCTGGAAGAGTATCACTCTCGTAAATCTTTATGTATGCTTTGAAATAAGTAAATAATTCACGGCACGTAACTTCCTGGCCATTTATCTTTTTGACAACTAAATTGACTGGGGCTAAGAGATCAGGGACCAGAACTATGAGATTTTCAACGAAATCGGGATCAATGTCTTTCACTCGCCCGTCAAACTTCGGATTAGTTGAAACTTTAAGACCAGGATGAGGCATTAGAAAACAATCCACCTGAGAGAAACACGATCGAATATGCCGACGAACAGTTTGGTGCTCTGTGTGGTGTTGTTGAACAATCTGAGGAAATAAAATGTGATTGTAAAAAAAGAAAATTAAACGTTTGCAAATCATTGTCAATTTTCAAACCCTAATTTCTCGGTGCGATCCTAAAGGCAAACGCCGAGGTCACTGATGTGTAATATCCAAATGACTGACGCTTTCTATTTATTTATTCGTTAGTCTATTCAGTTCACAAAAACGAAATTTATTGATTACATAACTATCATTGGTGAACTCCATTATAGATAAGATTTTATTTTGATAAATCACACAGTGTTACACAGTAATATTAACTGATGACGTTTCGAGCACAAATTATTGCCACTCATAATCATATCAAGTCACTCACACAACTTTTTACTTCATTTATATACATGAGTGGAATTGATTAGACATTTGAATAAATACCAATATAGGATAATGCACATTCAGAAATAATAATATGAGTGTTATTGATCAATTACAATCAGAAGGGAAATAACAAGTTACTTATTTTGATTATAAAATCACTCGTCTTATGTGTGAGTAACTTGATATGATTGTGAGTAAGTTTGTGCTCGAAACGTCATCAGTTAATATTACTGTATAACACTGTGTGACTTATCAAAATAATCTTATCTATAATGGAGTTATACTCTACCACAGTGTCCAAGTTTTATACTTATATCACTGGTGAAGTTTGAGATGTTTGGACTATTAATTGAAGAATATCCAAGTGTTATGGACAAAACCTAATAGCTCTTGCAAGGTGAAAATCAAGGTGATTCAGTGACCAAAACTAAAGGAAATTAGAACTAACTCACTACTCATGCTCTTAAGTGTAATTCACTAATCGTCTAGTAGGGATATTCGTTTTGTTCTCTTCGTCAGTTAATTCGCGAACCAATGATCAGAACTATAAAGAATGAAAAACTGAGCCACTATTTCTGCCAGTGAAATAATAATAAGAATGCAACTCATCAATCAAGTCAGTAGATAGGCAATAAGTGATGAACCGAACCTACTGTGTCAGAACTAACAGTAGGTATTACCTACCAGTATGCGTAGTGGAGTTGCAACTTGTGACCCAGCAGATGGGAATTCAGTGTTCAGATGAATAAACAAAGTGATCACTGTATTAAAATGATGATGTGTTTTTGGTAGCTGAGTCTTGTAGACAAGCAAGTGGAATTGGCAATCCTGAAGGCACTGGTTCAAATCCTGCCAAGACCCACACTTTCATTTCAACTTCAATCATCATCCATCATATGAAATACGAAGTAGTTGACAGATGTAAATTGCAAAAAAATTACCAGTATTTAAAAAGCTAGAATGTACTTTTCATGAGAAAACAAATGTATTAAGGCTCACATGATCAGATCACACCACGTATGCCATGTGAAGTAGCATTATGTACTTAGACTTAGATATTCTGTGTGATCCATAGAAAGAAACACTTATAACAAGCTACTGGATTGAGAAAATGTTCAATAAGAAGACTGCCTAGTTGATTACCATAACTTTTAAACACGATTCAGAAATTCTGTTTGGGAGGAGTTCCTCCTATTTATGCCATTCTTCACTTTGCTATTAACAACCTTTGAATATTTTGATACTTGGAAGTTCGACGTCTTTCTTATTAATTCCGACTTTTCCGGACGGTGGTTAGCAAATACCTAAAAATTATTACCACACGTTTGCCCTATTAGGTTGCCACAAAATTTGTTTAACTGGACAGTGTAGTTATCGGAAGAGTAGAATAAATTTGAAAAAAGCAACACATTACACCCCATGACGCAATGACTAGTGATACAACCTGGATTTGTGATGACTTAGCGAAACATTTAAATTGCTTTCGTAAAGTTCCAACAAGTGTTTATTCCGATAACTATAAATCTTAAGACATAGATCAAATGACATACAGAATGTCAAAACACCGCTTAATGGATCATACGGACATCCTACATGATGTAATTCAATCAAAAACTAAAATGCAATGCAGAAAAACATACAGGAGAACCGAAACCATTTTTCAAAATCAGATAGTTGGTTTCCAGAGAAACGGAAAACGAAACAGGCAGAGGCTGATATACACGAGGTTCATCCATGTACCATGACAAAGTTTACATCTGAGGGAGAAATTATTCCCATGCTTTTAATAATATGGAAGTGACTACACGATCTTAAATTAAAAATGAGAGTCTTCAAGTATTGGTTTTGTAGGGATTTCGTTCGATTGGTTAGAGGATTTCATCATCAACTGATGTCAGCTCATGATGAAATCCTCCAACCAATGAAAAATAAGGGTATTCCTTACATATAAAATAGAGACCAAAATAAAGTCATGGCTCACTGAACATCTTCACTGGGATATATGTGAAGTCCCTATCTTATTAATGTGAATGCATCATAGTCTATGCAATGTTTCAGGAATAGATGCGCTAGCATTTATTACACAAGGTAAATAGCTGGGAGTGTCAGAAAGAGGTCATGCTACAATTAACAAAAATCCTTTCATGTAAGAGCAACAAAGAGAAGCTTCAACATAATAACAACACACTTAAAATCAACAATACGAAGTACCACATATTCAAAATCACCTTGAGACGGTTATTGAGCAACTGATTACCACCATCTTTTCCAAAATTATATTCGTAAGGATAACTCCAGTCACGAACAAGAAACAACAGATGCTAAATAGGAAACAAATGTGAATTAGTATATGTAATTATTATATTGAACGTTAAAAAGTAGCTCTGTCTGGTTGCCAAAAATGAAATGCACCTACCTTTGTCTTGTGAAGATAGCCACGATAAACTTTCAGTTAATTTCAAGGAAGTCCCTGTTTAAAGGTTTCTTTGATACTACATTTCCATACATATATCGCTATAAACACTGCGACAACCAATATACTCTAAATGAATACCGAAGATACATTTTATAGATCAATTTTTGCTAACAGGTTCATTATTCACCTCATCCACCCTACGTTACTTTTCGACAGAGAAAACAATAATTAACCAAATAATAGAATCAAGACAGTTGAAGCTTTAATAACTGCAACTGTAAATAGGAAAAACAATTTATTTCTACGCGTTCATCTAATTACAACAGATCTACGTTAGTCAACACCATCTCAAGTATTGCTCACCAATTGTCGTTATATTTCTTGAGATTGGGCCTATCTTTGATGCATCGGAAAACCTTGAACTCTGAAATTCTGTGGTAGATAAAGGAGTATCTCAGGAGTTTATCAACATTCTCAATGCCCCATGCGAAATTACCTCAGGTAAACTAAAATCATACGACCACCTATCACCACTGTTCCCAGACAGCAATGGCGTTAGACACGCTTGTCCAATTTCGCCAATTCTCTTCAACGTCGTCTTCAATGACATTCTAAGTACAACTATGAAGGATCAGTGTGACAGTAGTGTGGATCTGCTGACTGAAGAAAGGCCTTGCAACCTTGAATAGGGGGGGGGTGACACTAGTTCACTGTGTGGTAATGCATAGACTACCCAAATATCACCTTGTTGGTTGATAATCAGTATCCATAGGTATGGTTTTTCTATTCCTTCACGTTCCCAGTGGAACATAGGGCTTCAAGCTAGAAGCTTGAAGTTTCTGTAGCAGTATTTATTTTTACAGGATGGGGTTGCTAGCCTCATGCCCGGCCTTTCCTCTTCACCAGCTTTTAGTTCTGGCTTAGCGAGGTAAAGGAGTGTGTCGGCCGGGGATCGAACCCCGGACCATGTGCACGGTAAGCGAGCGTCCTAACCGCTATGCCACTGACGCACCTATAGGTATGGTATGTGTAAGTTACTACTACAAGATTCGTAGGAGACCGTCCTCGCACCCACATTCACATGCCAACCATTAGAAGTATTCGAGAAGTTTATGTATCCAGGTAGTTTTCAGCACCGATTTTGTGATGGGTGAAATTTGCAATATGTAGTGAAAATCAGGTGACATATGTCAACACGAGCAACCTCAAGCGCCAGTGACATTAATCCGACCAACAGACATCTGATTTATGAAGAACATTCTTATTAAAAAGTCAGGGATAGTTCGCATTCATTTATAGTTGTCTCCGTATAAATTTTGCATCCAGCGATGTTGTCACGCAAATAATTCTGTTATCCAGTGGCACTAGTTTGAAGAGGGAAGAGATCATCGCTCCACAAGTGACTTTATTTTAGGGAGCTGGCTTTGCTAGTCTAGGTGTGTGCTACGAATATCCGGCCAATGACTTCCACACTGTTCACTCTGTCGGCCTCGGGACAAAGGAAAAGAAAGGCTTGGATAGCTTATGACGCCACACCACGGGATAAAGAGAACAGGTGTTGGGTCAACACGACCCACTGGGTGAAGTCTGAGAGATCATGAGACTAACTGTTACCAGACGGATATTGCTCGGAGTCGAAATCAAAGCTAACATGTTACTAATTCCTTACTTCTTCTTTTTGAAAGTAATATCAAGCTATTAACAGTCATTCGAAAGCATCCTTTACTATTTTTACTCCTTAGCTAAAGTTTTATTTCTTCTGATAACGCTTTACTTTGTGTGCCGCATCTGATTGATTAAATGAGTTCTAAAATAGACCTTTTCACAGAAGTGCAGCAGCTTGAATTGCCATACTCCATGCAACACACAGTAGAGAGAATACAAAAACAAGAGATCCAAAAGAACTATAATCAGCACTAAATGTAAGGCAGAAAAAACAGTCAAACCATCGTTGTTGGTTTGTCCACATAGAACTCAGTAAGCGCTGCCAATACACTTCCCTGAATGACACAACTGTTTGAGCATTGAAGTCGCTCACCAAAACAACGCGTGTCGTCTCAAAAATAAGTAAAAAGTTAGTTTCTGGCATGGAGCAACATGGACAGATCATATTTTTCATTAGAAAGAAAGATACCAAATACACAAACGAAGCGAGCAAAATGCAATGAGAAGCACGACGGAAATAAAACGAATGTGTGCGATTACAAGACACACAAAATATATGTGGAACTACGGGGTAAACACTCTACACTTACCGCCATTCCATTGTTTGTCCACTGAATACTGAGGTCCTTGATTTCCAATAAGACTAAGGTCAACTGCTATTGTGAACTAAGTTAAACTAAATTGTGATTACTCCAGAAGGAAAATAAAACTACTAGGACCAAACACGGGAATTTCACTCTATTGGCTACAGCACAACTGAGTTTAATCAGTTCGAATAGATCACTTGGACCACCAGCTTTAAATGCTTCTGCTTAGAGGTCATTATTACTTGTTGG